AGTGAAAAGGAAGAAAGGTGACAGGCAGCCCTTTCCCCCCAGCCCCCATACTACGGTGGGGTAAGGGGTGCACAGGGCATCTTGGCCTGCCCCAGGCTGCGGTCTATGCACAGCAGGCAGCAGAGGTAGCCAGACGAGAGGAGGGAGGTGTGTTGGCGCTGCAGATGAAATGACTAAGAATCCAGGGACCTGTCTGGTGGCGATATCGTCAGCCATGGAAGAATCCATTTCTAATAGCTCTTTCTTATACATTATTCATAGAAACAGGAAGACAGAGCCGATAACATCAGAATGATGCCGCTGTCCAGCAAATCTAATGACTGTAGCTTGAGGGCATTTTCACTCACTTGGAAAAAAATTATTTTTGCCAATTTGAGTTCCAGGAGGCTGAGAGGGCTAACTCAAACCTAGAGAGACCGTGCGAGTTCAGTTGTGGGGAAAGGTGTGGCCTTTCATCAGCAGCATCTGTTTTCTTGTGGTGTCTGGGTCCTGCCCAACCTCTCGTTTCTTCGTTTCTCATGGAGGAATTAATGCTGCTCTAGTTAAATAGCCCTAGGTTTTCAATTCAGCTTCTAGTTTTCATATCTGTCAGTCAAAAGGCAGGGGACAAGCAATAGGACTTTGTGGAGGGCTATGCTGGATTTCAATATAAATTATTAGCTTCCAATCCTTTCAAGCCTAAGGGATGAGCCCTTCTTAAACAGTGAGCGCATCCTGCTATTGCCAAAATCTGGTCCCTCCCTCAATTTCTGATTCATGACAACTGCAAGATTCCTTCCATCTCAACACCCACTCCAACTTGCTGTCAAATAAGCCGAGAGGTTAATTTGTTGAAAAGGGAGAGAGGAAATTGGGAGTGCAGATGATACCAGTTACCCCAGGGGTTAGGGTGCAGAGAGAAGGCAGCGCACCGTGCTTCTTAATTTGCCTGTCATTTTCGTTCCTTTGTGTACAATAATCTGGTTTCCTGAACAGCCGTCGATACATTCAGTTTCATTCTTTCATGCATGCATTTCTCGTGCACTCACCCATCCTGCATCCCACACAATGACTGAAGGTGCATGACCTGTCAAGGGTCCCTGCACACCATCTGCAAACTAGAAGTGAACCAGACTATGGTGCCTGCCTTCAAGCAGCTTATGAGCTCTGCAGGCAGAGGACGTGTGACCAAACACTGCACAAGTGCTTCTGCAGGTGTGTTGGCAGAGGTGGCGATTTGTGGGAGGCCCTCTGGTTCTGTCTGAATCCATATTTATTGTCATGTGTATTATGTAAACACAACTAGCCCTTTCAACCTGTAATTTCACTGACACTGCTGAGGAAACTGGTGGAGTTGATTTAAAGAAAATATCAGTAACAGTGGTATTGGGATGTGGCAAAATGATGCTGGTAAATAGTAGTAACAATGATGATGACGATGAATATGATGATGATGAGCCAAGCCCAGTATTTTTGGTAGGTGTTTTACAAATAGCACCATACTATTGCTATCCTTATTCTACCAATAGGGAAACTGAGCCTAGAGAGTTTAAGTAACTAGCCCAAGGTCACAGGGTTACTGTGTGGCTACTCAGTGTTTGTGAATGCCACGTGAATACTGTGTAATTGAATCCAGGCAATAGGCTTCGGTGTGCATGCTGGGGATTACTCTGGCACTACTGGGGATGAGGGGCAAACCCCTACTGTTTTGTACAGGGGTTCACTCACATGTCTATCTGCCTGCAGGATGAGGAGATGCATGAAGGCAGGCACCAGCACCAAAGTCTGTTTCATTTTTCAGTTTGCAAGAACCCTTGATGAGTCATATGTCCTCAACAATTGTGGGGTGGATGGATGCATGGATGGATGGATGCATGGATGCATGGATGGATGCATGCATGGATGCATGCATGGATGGATGGATGTAATCAAATGCATCGACTGATGTCCAAGAAGCCAGAACACGCTACACAAGGGACAGAAAATAGGCTCACCTTCTCACTGGCTACTACTCTTTCCTCTTCCCAGAGGAGGCAATCTGGCCCTCTCTCTAGGGCTGTCACTATGCAGACACACTCTCCCCATGCCCGGGTCCAGGACTGAATGGGTGAGTGGCTGGGGAGCCCCATTTCAGGCTAGGTACTATATTATTCACCAGGATGTACTGATAGCAAGCCACTTACTGCATCTCAATCCAGTTACTCATCTGATCCAGTTTGGTTAAGAATTTGCAAGGCAAGAAAATGTATAATCATTCACAATAAACACTATTCACCTTCACTGTAAGCTCTTGCATTACAATTATCCCCATTTTGAAAGGGTAGACAGGCTGAAGCAGCTCAGAGAAGTTGCTGGAAGCCACAGTGAATGGCAAAGCCAGGATTCAAAGAGATGTCTCAAGTCTTAAAAAAAATTCATTGTTTCAGGTAGCTAAACTGGCCTCCTTCAAAAATCTCTATCATGCTAATATGACATAACTGATAGCAATCACAAAGTTTAAAGAAATATTCTCTGCATCAATTATTACTATTAGGATAAAGGGGTAGTTGCCTATTTGGATCGACTTAAACACTTCACAGAACTCAGTGTTAACACTGGCCAATTTTTCCTCCTTGATTCTTCTCTGAATTCCAATGAATTTTTCATCAGCTTATTAATTAGTACAAATCTTGGATTGTGCTTTGTAATTAAGGCCTTACGTGTTTCTCTAGATCTTACATTTGAGTTAATGTTAATTTTTCACAGAGAAAAATTAGGAATTTGACGACTGCCTTCCTTCCTGGCAGTCGAATATATATACTGCCTGTCAAAAAAGATTGAGTGCCTGAGTTCCTAAGATAGGGAGTGATAGATTATTCAGCATGAAATTGCAAACTCATTTGCCCAATATCATAATCAATTGCTGAAAGCAGTTTTTTTTTTTTTCCTGGAAACCCATTTGTGAAATGCATTTTGTAATCTAGTCACTGAACATTAACTCAAATCCCATGACTTGCCATTAGTCTTTGTAACTTTTCTTTAGCCCATGTCTTGGTTTGCTTTCTTATAATTTCTATCGATTTTAGTGATCAAAAGAAACAAGTTTATGTAATTTGGGTACATTTTCCACAGTATTATTACTATTAATGATAACAGCTCTTACCACATGCTGTTGGGGAGACAATTCTCCAAGAAACCCTTGCATTTTTGCATATCCCAAAGGGCACCGATTCTTTTTGTTCCAGATTATCTTTTCAAAGACATGTTGGTGAACAGCCTCAGGAGGTAGAGATCAGGTCTCCTTCTGGGACATGCTTACTGCCCATTATAAAAAATTGGGGTTCTCTAACTCAGGGTCCCACTCCTGCAATGCAAGCTCCTGTGTATGTGGTTACTGTCTTTGCATCACTCTGTGGGGACTGGACTCAGGGAACTGCCACAAATGCTGCTACTCTGACCATTGCTACTGATGTGAGTAACCTAGTCCTCCATCCTCTGCCTCTATTAGTCTTGTGTCATCTGCCACAAGAGATGAGAGGGTGTTAACTTGTTAGCCCATGAGTAAGACAAAAACGCAACCTTTCAGTTCTTGACATAGGCCAGATATTATAATATATATTTATAACTACATATTTATGCATGAACATTTGCTAAGTATATATGTTTATCTGTCTGTCTCTCCCCAATCACAATCTTATGAGGTACATATTACTACAATCCTCACTTTAAAGATGGGGAAACTGAGGCACAGAGACATTCTCCAAGGAGACAGTGGGTCTAGGGTTTTAATTAGGCAGGGAGGTTCTGGAATCTGTTCTGTTTCCTTGCTCTCCTCTCTTGAGTGTATGACCCAAGAGCTTTCTTTAGTCACTGTACTTCACTTTGAAATAAAGTGCTGCTTGGTACATATTCAAGAACAGATTGATCAGATATTGAGGTTAATGCTGCTCCTTCTAAAGTTCCAATGCATTCGCCTCACAAGAATTTATAATACACCAGTGTGTGCTATTTTGGGTGTTCCAAGAGAAGAGAAAACAACACCCTGGTGGTTTCTGGGGTATTATCCATGCTGTAGGTGCTCAGGTTTGGGGGCTGGCTCAGGCTGGACATAGAGAATGGGGACCCTTGTACATTCTTGTAGCTTCTAGTGGGTAAATCCACTTAGGAGTGTCCTGTCCAAGGAAACATCTTCCTTACCCTACCCTACTCCACTCGTCACAGGCCAACTGCTCTTTACCTTCTCCTGTACCACCCCACTATTAACAGCAACAACAACAACAATGCAGCCACTCCACAAACATGTATCATGTGCTTACTGTGTACCCGGTGCCGGTGCAGGCATGCGGTGCATACTGAGAATACAAGCCCTTGCGCCTGGGAGCTGACATCTAGCAGGGGGACAAACAACCTAACAGGCACATCTCCAGGTCCTGTCCTATTTCTCTCCTTTTCTTCCCAGCTGTGATCCTGAAGAACAATCTCCACTTCCTTGTCGCCCATTCATTCCCTGGCTGCAGCCTGGCCTCCGCCTTCCTCACCCCACTGAACTCAGCCTCACTGATCTACCGCTGAGCTGCTGGCAGTTGTGGCTCAGGGATGCATCCAGGCTTTCTTCACTGGCTTCCTCCAAAGCTGGGGATATGGTGACCTGCCCCACCTTGGACCCCTCCCCACGTACTTGGCTCTTTCTCAGTCACCTAGACCCTGCCCCTCAACACTGGTACGTTAAAAAAAAAAAAAAAAAACTTCAATAAAATTTTACTGATTGACCATTGTCCTGCAGCACTATACACATTTCAGGAGTACACTTCTCACCCGTATGCACAGGCCCCACCACTCCACACCAAAGTCTAATGTCACCTCACCATCAAACTGGCTCCCTTCCCTGCTTTGGTGACTGCCATATTTTTCACAGAGTCTAGAGTTATTTTTGTTATTTGCTAGTTCATTTGCTTCGGTTATTTATACCTCACATATGTGAGAAAGCATCCCCGTTAATTATTTTTCACTTTCTGACTAGTTTTGCTTAGAATTACCTCAAATTCCAAGTATGTCGTCGCAAAAGGCAAGAGTTCATCCTTTCTGGCAGCTGAGCGGCCTTCCACGGAGCACACACTCCACACACACAATATCACGGGCCTCCAGGTGTCCCCCGTCCTGGCCATCGTGAACCATGCTGCTGTGAACACAGGGCTGCAGATAGGTTTTCAAATTAGCGTTTTCATCTTCTTCAGCTACATACCTAGGCGTGGCACTGCTGGGTCACACGCGATTTCTATTTTTGTTTTAACTCTTTTAAAACTTCATACTGCTTTCCAGAGCGGCTGCATCAGTTTGCATTCCCTTGGTCCATCTGAAGTTCTGCTCTTGACCATCTTTTCACCCTGCGGGCATCATTCCATAGCTTCTTGGACTCGTGGACACTCACAATTATATTCCCAGTGCCAAACAATCATCTAAACGTCTTTCCTCTGGCTCCGGGGCTGCCTACCTGATGTCCCACAGACCCCTGGGCTCTCGGGACCCCGTCTCAGTCAACATAAACACCCCCATGTTTTGCAGCCATTCCTGGCCAGGTAGGTTCATTGTCCATTCTCACAGATGGAAAGATAATTTTGGTGCCTTTGGTAGATTTTTACAGGCCTTCAATGCTGAATTAGGGGACAGACCGGCTTTCCCTCTCTGTACTTCTCTTGCTGTCGCCTCTCCCTGTCCTCCAGCTTCAGAGTGACGCTGCCCTGCTATCCCCTCCCACAGGTGCTCATTTACATACACGTGCGCCCCAGGCTCTCCGGGCCCAGGTGTCCGTAATTACAGGTGCACGTGCAAGACCGCAGGTGTGTGTCATAGATGCTCCTGGCGGCCGGGCATTGTAAAAAAGCCTGGTTTTTAACTCATTTGCCATATACCCCACCTAGCTCCTCAAAATGGTTCCAGCTCCTTCTCCACCATGCCCCCTCTTTTTCACCACCCCATGTGATCAGTCATCTGGTCCTGTAGATCACTTTGCAAATAAAGCCTGCCACCCCTTCTCTGTTCTCATGCCAGTGACCCTGCCACTCCCTCTTCCCCGACCATAACCATGGTCTGGCTGTCTCTTCTTATCTCCCTCTCAGTGATTCTCCCAAAGATCACCTGGAAAGTCTCTTCAGAGGGCAGGTCCTCATGTCCCATCCCAGAGAGTTACTCAGGACTCCAGAGAGGACTCGGATGTCTGCACTTTTAACAAGTCCCCTAGATGATCTCAAGGCAGGTAGTCTCCACTCCGCAAGAAACCATACCCCGCAGCCTCCTTATTCCAGCCCGTTCTCCACACGAGGAATCACTACAACCCTTAATCATTTTTAGAACACTTAACACACCTGACGGCTTTCTGAACCCTCCACGCACCTCTGTCCCTCTAAAGAACAACTTTGTTTTACTGTGGTTAAAGAGCCACGTTTTACCACTGAGAGAACACGGTAAGGCTACTTTATGCCTCTGAGCCTTTGTCCATGCTGTTCCTCTCCTCAAATCACTGTATGTGTTTGTTCCCATGGCTGTACAGCAAACTACCACTTGCTGAGGACAGCGTGGCTGGGTCTCTGCCCAGATTCCCACCAAGCTAAAATCAGGGTGTTGAGGAGCTGTGGTCTCACACGGACTCAGGGTTCCCTTCCAGCTCATGGGCTGTCAGTAGAATTCAGCCTCCTGTTTCTTTGCTTTCTCTCACCAGGGGTTTCTCTCAGTCCACAAAGCCCACCCGCGTTCCTTGCCACTGCCCTCTTTATCTCAAAAACTAGCAAAGGAGAATCTCAGCCATGATACATGTATTCCTGCTTTCAGTCTCTTTTGCCAGAGAAAAAGTACAGTTGCTTTCAAAGGCTCACCTGACTGGCTCAGGGCCACCCAGGATAAATTTCCACATTTTTAAGGTCAGCTGATTAGGGATATTAATTACAACTGAAAAATCTCTTGTGGCAGTGTGTCTGATTGAATAACTGCGAGAAGGTGTGTGTAATGGGAGCTGGGAACCTCGTGGGTGACATTATAATGCTGGCTATCGCACCTACTGTTTTCAAAATTAGCTCGGGCTTATTGTCAACCTTCATGCCTCTAGACAGAGTCAGCCCCACCATCCCCCCAGGCCCCATAGCATTCAACACACATTTGTCCAATGGGTACTGTATTTTTTGACTGCTCCATGTCCCCCCACCCCCTGCCCCTTTGAGGATTGGGCAGGAACCAGTCCTCAGCCCTTTAGCCTCTCCAGCATGCACAGCAGGCAGCTCAGTACAGGTGTGCCTCCCTGTGTGAGGGATGTGCCAAGCCAGCCCTCCAGACAGAAGTGGTTTAATTAGAGTTGCATGCACAGCATGAGAAAGGCCTTGATGGAGGCCAGAAAGTGTTTCCAGAAAGTCCCAGGAAACCAACCTCAGCTTACAAGGCCTCCAAGTCTTCCGTGCAGAACCAAAGGGAGGCTGGAGGCCCTTCTGATTTCCCACTGACAACCAGCTTGTAGAGCTGGTGAGGCGGATGCGCCACTAGGTGTCACTCCCGATCCAATAAAGAGACCCAGGTCCTTAGAAAGTCATTTACACCTTTCTAGAGAAGGAAGCTGATCAGGAGGGCCACACCCATTGTTTCCTTCTGGGTCTCGCTCCAAACCGTCAGTTTCAATTCCGTCCACGGACACAGTCTGGGTCTAATCAAAGGACGCGTAGTTGGGGGGGCCACCCGACCCCCTAATTCAGTCTCTCTATTTTGTAGATAAGGACCAGGGTGGGGACGTGTCAAGCCAGGAACTGCTGGGTCTCAGTCCCCTGGCGGGGTGCACCCCTTCTTACCCCCAAGCCAGTCAAGCCAGGTCAGCTGCAGGGAGGCAAGGTAAGTCAGGACTCTCTGTCAAAAGGGTGGTCTGGATAAAAGGGTGGTCCAGAGCAAAAGGCTGCTCTGCAGAGTGGCCCGCAAGACCAGTTCTAGGTGCTCAGGTCAATTCAGGATTCAACTCCATTTCCTACCTGGAGATCCAGCCAGGGCATCCCCAGCCCGGGAAGGAGAAACTGACAGGGTAATAAGAGGGTCCTGCAGATCTATTAGGACCTACCATTTTCTATGGCTTCACGCAATCTCTTTTTCTTTGAACATGAGGGGTGGTGAGTGGGGGGTGCATCCTGGCCTCCTAAGACCAGTGCCCAATATCTGCAGTCTTTCTCCTTGAGTCCAGGGTCGAAGCACTGGGGTTGGAAAATACTTGTGAAGAACACCACTCCACGCGAGTCTGACTGGGATTGTCTTCGCTCCACTTTTCTGGCTCGAAGAAGACATCTGTCCCGCAGATTCAGGACTGAGGGAAGACTCTTTCCTTCACCTCCAGCAGAGGGCGCGCTTCCCCCACGCCCGCTCCTACCCAGCAAACCCCTGCCTAGTCCAGTCTAGGCCTCTCAATGCCCCCCCAACCCACCCCCTGCCTGGAGCCAAGGACCTGTCCTGGGAATAATTTCAAAGTCACTTCTGTTCAACCCTGGGCCACCACCTTTGAATGTCCTGTTTCCTCTGATCTTATGATCATATTTATTTTCTTAAGTGAATATTGAAATTCATTTGCATTTCCTGGAGGGTCAAGGTTACAGGTTACCTGGCTGGCTGGAATTCCAACTAAGAGAACTGGTTCAGGATGGAGATTCCTGCCAGGCCTCACCTATAACGTGAATAATCTCATATCTGTCACTACAGTAATTTTCTTTAACACTTGCAAAGGGTTTTTGTCCATGTAAAGCTTGACCAATTCTATTTGTGAGTCTCCTTCATTCACTTAATTTTCAACCCACATTTTATTGAGTGCCTTATGGGTGCCAGGGTGACCAAATCATACTTGGTTACTGATTTGGGTGGAGCTAATACTCCACCAGGGGAAGAGCTAATACTCTAGCTGGGGAGGCATACCAACTATAATTGCTGTTGTAATTAAAGGATGTGTGTAAGAAGGGGGAAACACAGGCTGCTGGGGCGGGGTGCAACAGGGAATGAGTCCAAGCCCTCACCTGAATCCCAACTGCAACTTTCTTCCACCTTCAAATTCACCCTGATGCTGTCTTTCATCCTCTTGCTGATGCAAACGGATACAAATCACTACCACCCCCCCTTCCTCTGCACTCCCCCCCACCCCCAAATATTGAGCCAAATATTGAGCCATTTTCAAGGCTGCCTGTCCCCAGGTGAGGCTTCCAGAGCAGTCTTGCTGGAGTCTCCTTCCTGCACCTCCCTGCTCTGGGGCTGAGTGCCCCCAGGCAAGCCATTCACTATTTTGTATAATGAAATGCACATTACAATTTGCCTCTGAGGCCTGTTGACTGACAAAGCCTGAAAACCAGACAGCTCTGAGTGCTGCCTCCTCTGCCTCTTTGTGTTTATTGAGCACCTACTAGGCAAGGTGTGCAGAGCCAAGGATACAAAAAAGGCATTAGGGACAGAAGGAGGAATTTGCTAAAGAATGGGGGGTGGTAAGACCTCTTGTCTTTCAGAGCACTGGGGCTTTAGAATCAGCTGGAAATGAGAGCTTTGTTGGGATCAGGTCCAGTTAATTAGTTTAAAAGGTAAAGACACCCAATAGAAAAAAGCTTGTCTGAAAGCCTGGAGGCAGGCATTCCAGGCCTGATAGGGAAGTTCTGCTTGGAGAAGGCCCCAGGGGCCCAGGGACTTCTGTCTTGTTTCCCTATGTTTGACCTCCATTCCTAAGGTCCCCAGGTTGCTCTAATTCCAGCCATCACATTCAGTAGGAAGAGGAAAGAATTAAAGAAGTGAGTAAAGGAGGGTGGTAGATAATACAGAAGGAAGGTTCCCAGAATAAGACCCATCCCCTTGTAATTCTTGCCTAAGCATTCATGCACAGAGCTCAGCCACAGGACCCTTCTAGTTGCAAGGAAGGAGGGATGCTTGGTGTTTATCTTGTGGAGCCACATGTCCAGCTAAAAACTGGCAATTCTGTTACGAGCAGTCTTCGCCATCAAGCCTGACTTAGAGTGTGAACTTCTTTATTTTGTCAGTAAATGTAAACTGTCCTGCCAATTCTTTTCCTTAATATATCACAAATCCACCTGTAGCAGGGTGGTGCCCAGGAAAGGGGGAGGTTCCAGGTTTCCTGCCCCACCCAAGGGAGGGTGGAGCTGAGCAGAGAAAAAAGAAGCTGCAGAGGAGACTGAGGAAGGAAGGAA